AGGCCTCGCGCTGTCGCTGGGGGCGCGCGCGGCAGCTCGCGGCCTGGAGAATGGAGAAGCGTTTGAGCCCCGTTGCGGGGTCCTGCTCCTGCTCCTGGGCTGCAAACAGCCGTGCGACGTCCTGCCCTTGGCTGTCGCCTCCTGGGCCCGGGGAGGAATTTCCCCCTGCTCTAGGCTCTTTTGCAGCTGGATTGAACAGCCCCTGAACCTGGAGCTGCTGCAGCACGATAGTTACGCTGGGCGACCCCCCTAGCGCGCTGGTATAGCGCAGCATCCACAGCCCCATACCCCGGGAAGAGGTGAGCCGTAGTGGCGCATTTCTGGGAAGAGGTAGCTCCGTGCGGTAGCTACCGGCTGGTGCAACCCTTCCCAGTGCTGTGGAGACAGGCTCCAAATACTCTGAGGCTATTTACCTCGTCCCAGCCCTCTGAGATCTGTTTCCATCCCCATTTTCTAAATGCTGTTGTAGTAAAATATAGTAAAGACTATGTGTGCTTCTTCCCCCTTCCATTACTTAAGCTTGAAACAGCACATATCATTTAGCTAATTGCGCATGTTTTAGAAGCTGAAGTAAAAAGGGGAACTAGCTGTTTAGACCCATTTCTCAAGGACTGGAGTACAGGTATTACTTGAGTTAGGGAAATTTGCTAATTGCTATTGCTTAAGTAAGCTGTACTGGTGGTTGTTACTGAATGGAATAGAGTTGAAATATGCTAACCAATAACGTGGCAACACGAAGCTAAGGTAACAAATCAAGACGTGCCAAGTTAGATAAGAAAGTTAAAGAAAGTATAAAAAGGATGCTTAGCCTACGCTCAGGGTCGGCTCTGCTTTGAACATTGAGTTCCTTAGCCGTACCTTGGTTGCAACCAATAAACTTGAGTTGGACCCAGCCTGAAAGTGTGACTCTCTTCTTGGGGTAAATCAGACTAGCCTCCAAGGGGACGAAACCAGAAATTTATGCAACACTGTATCGGAGTAGCAGCAATCAGCTGTCCATAAGATACCCATGAGAGGGCTTTTAAGAGACTTTCTATATTGCTTAATAGCAAGTATAACTTTGGAGCTGTACCCTTTTTAAGCATTTGTGAGAAATAACAAAAACCGAGATGGAGATAATCTGGTTCACAGAAATTATCACCTCTGATTCCAGTATTTTGCTACTGTCCCATGCTGTTCTAGAATTTACATGAGTGACTGACAACATGCAAGTACTTAAAAAACACGAATATTCTAGCAGCACCTTAAAGACTAACAGGACATGTAGATGGTATAATGAGCTTTGGTGGGTACAACCCACTTCTTCAGCTTCTACCTGTTTTGTTAGTCTTTAAGGTGCTACTAGACTATTTTTAAGTTTTTCCAGTTACAGACTAATTTGGCTACCCCCTGAAGCTTTTGTACATGCAAGTAGTTGTATTGGGAAAACGTAACTACAGGATGATACATTCTTCTGTCTTTATTAGGATGCCTAAACTCTGATGAATTTTAATTATAAGTGGCTTTTTTACAACAGCACAATGTGAAAGATCAGAATAAACAAGCTACCCAACAATTACTACAGTACACTATCTAGGGGATATTAATCAAAGCCCTCAAGTAAATAACAAATTGAAAAGATTAATTTATTTAAACCTGGAAACAAAGTTTCGTCCAACTCGAATCATTTTCATTGTATTGATCTTACACAGAGATTAACATAACTAAACCTTGGCAATATAATCTGAGACAAATGTAGCTGCCTACATTTCAAATGATGAAAAAACTAACAAATTAGAAGATTTGTTCAAGGCATATATGTTGCTATTCTGCAGTCAGGTGTTGTGTACTAAATAATTGGTCCCAGATGAGACCATTTCAGAAATGGAAAACTTTGCTGAGTAAATTGAATCTACTATGCCAGATCTATGCTACAGACATATAGTAGTATAACTATATCACCCAGAGCTGTGAAAAATCCACACCTCTGAGCGACATACGTTATACTGACCTTAACCCCCTATGTAGACAGCACTATACTTCTCCCACAGACATAGCTACTGCCTCTTGAGGAGGTGGATTAATACACAGACTGGAGAGCTCTCCCTTCAGCATAGGAGTATCTTCACTGAAGCACTTGCGCAGCTACACAGAAGCAGTGAACTACCTGGCAACAGTCAGCAACACCCATCAAAGGACACTTTGTTTCAGTCTGTTCCCCCCAGGTTCTCTTAAACCACATCCACCTGCAACCCAACTAATGCCCTTCTGATATTTTTGTCTTCTCAATAGAAACAGTCATTCTATGTAGGTAGGCAGACCTCTTAGAACCCATACAGCACAGACAAGCCTTGGATGGTATGCAAGTAGGTGGTATGCTCTTGGTCGATGAAATACAGAGAGAGTTATTCATGAGTGGGAACCTATACCCAGATAAGAAACTCTCCTTACTGTGTGATATCTTTTGTTTCTGCCATCATTTTGTATCTTTTGGTCTCTTTCGCTCTTGCATCTACCTTTTCCTTGATTATGTTTATGTTACTATGTATTTACACGCTATTCTTGGTGAAGCGTGCATTGTTAAATTCTAACCAATCCACAGTTTGTGTCCCACTCTAGGTCTGAGTACACTGTAGCACTGTTTCTTCCTTTAGTCTCTGAGACTCAAGAACCTCATAGTGCCAACTGCCAAGAGAAACAGGGTGCCCACATAAGGATTACAAGGATCTCCAGACTCTGATGTGTACATTCTAGCTCCCCAAGAATGTCATGCAAGGTCTCTCATAAAAGCTGGCTTTACACTGGTCATCAATATAACTGTGAAACAAATGTACAGATGTTGTGTAAGGAGTTGTGTATATCTATACACTTTGGCTACGTCTAGAATGGCATGATTTTCCGCAAATGCTTTTAATGGAAAAGTTTTTCCGTTAAAAGCATTTGCGGAAAAGAGCGTCTAGATTGGCACGGACGCTTTTCCGCAAAAGCACTTTTTGCGGAAAAGCGTCTGTGCCAATCTAGACGCAGTTTTGCGCAAGAAAGCCCCGATCGCCATTTTTGCGATCGGGGCTAATTTGCACAAAACAATACCACGTTGTCTACACTGGCCCTCTTGCGCAAAAGCATTTGCGCAAGAGGGCTTTTGCCCAAACGGGAGCAGCATAGTATTTCCACGAGAACACTGACAATCTTACATGAGATCATCAGTGTTCTTGCGTGAATTCAAGCGGCCAGTGTAGACAGCTGGCAAGTTTTTCCGCAAAAGCAGTTGCTTTTGCAGAAAAACTTGCCAGTCTAGACGCAGTCTTTCTGTTGTTAGGACCTGTGTCTAGGGACTGATCACCAGCAAAGATAAACAAGTTTTTTGATGCACAAGAATTGTTTATCTAGTTGACTATTTACATATAAATTAAATATTGTATTGTTCACAGTGGACAGATCAAAGGCTTATACAAGTGTATTTAGGGGCAAAGAAGACACTCCGTCATCCTTATTATGATGTGAATTGACTGCAGATTTTACTTCATGAAAGAGAGATTTCAAGGAGGATTTGTTGAAAACGCTGGTAAGAATGTAGGGTGAAAAGCCTCTTTAGACAAGAGGAAAACTTAGTTTAGTCTCTAGAAAGCATGATGTGATTTTGTTTTGTTTGTAATCATTTGTTTCTAATATTCTTTCTGTTGTTGAATCTCTGTTCTTTGATAAAAAATATATTTTTGATAATAAACATGTCTTAAGTGCTGTGATGTTAAGCAAAGTTATGGCCCTGAGTTGAATATTAGAAGCTGACATGCACTGTTTCTTTGGGAAAAGCAGGCCAGGCATTTCTGTGAGTGATCAGTGGATAGGTGGCTAGACAATGCGTGGAATGCTCTTGGAGGCCTTGAAGGTTGGCATTAATCTATTGCTACCTGTCTGAGAAACTGAGGCCTGAAAGACAGTGCTTGTATTGGCAGCAGCTGATGGATTCAGGGAGCGGTTCCACAGCAAAGACAGATAAGAATTCCTCATACTAAGGGCAAATGAGGGTGAGGTAACTCACAACCTCTCTGGCACAGCTGAATACAGCCTCTTTGTCAGTTACCCATTACATAAATGAGTCGATGCTGCCCAGCTTCTCTAGGTCCCCAGGACGATGCTGACCACTCACACTTTTCAGTAACTTAAGCATACCTATCTAAATAGCATGCCTATCCATCATGAATGGGCGGGGTTCTACCCTTTTCTCGACATCCCAGCAATTCAGTTAACTAAATTGCCTGTAAGAGTTAAACCCAGAGACAGTGAGTACTTGAGAGTCTCCAGAAACTGTGGACAGGGGAGCCAGGAGAGCCAGTGAAAACAGTGTTAGTTTTGAATTGAAGTAGGACCTTCCCTGCTGCAGTCTTTGTGTGATCTGAGCTGAGGGAGATGAGTTAAGCTAGGAACAAGGCATGGAATTTCCAGTGATATCTATGCCTTGGGGAAAGACTAAACTTTGGAACAACAGAGGTGTGTATAGAACAGGGTAGGGATGTTAAATTTTGATTAATCGGCTAATTGAGGAGTCAAATGGAATTTCCATCAGCTACTCGATTAGTCGATAAGGAGGGTGCTCACTATCCTGCTGCGCCTCTGCCTTTGAAATGTACAAGAACCATCCTCTTCAAAGGAAGAGGCAAAACAGTCCCCGCTCGCATGGGTCTCTACTGCTGTGCCTCTCCTTTTAAAATGTACAGGAGGGCTTATCGGGTAGTCGACTATTCGCTTATATCCCTAGACCGGGGACTGTTTAGTCAGATATGTTCAGGTTATTTTATTTATTTTGGAGTTTGTTGAACTCTTCTGTTCTGAGCCCATTTCTCCCTGTTGACTTTTAAAGGAAATCCCAGGAAAGCAATTCTCTGTTTTTAATTTGCTTTTTTTCAGTTTCTCTGTAACACCAAATATGCTTTACCAAGTATGTCGTCTTCATTTTGTTAATAAAATAACCTTTTAAGACTATAATCTGAATCCTGTGTCTTAGAAGGCATTTGGTTTGAATGTGCATGTTTGTGAGACTGAAAGGTCAGCTATTAAGAAATTAGTTTTTCAGGCTCTCTCCAGTGGGAGAGTTAAAGAGCTTGAGAGAATACCCCACAGGAAAAAATTCCCAAATACTTCTTCCTGGGTTCTCAAAGGGATTTTTGTATTTGGGTAGTGGCAGCATACCATCCAAGGTCAGGGAATCTGTGACCGTGGGGAGTTTTTAACCAGAAGCATTTAGTGGCAGGGTATTTTTAAAGTCTTTTGTGCAGCCTCTCCTTCTGCACTCAATGTGCCAGAGAGGGACCAGCCTGAGAGCCATGGATATTTTTAGTGCAAGTCATGGTCAGATCCCAGGCAATAAACAGAAGCCTGGGATCTTAATGGAAGCCTGTGACATGTTCCTGACTTTCACAAAAATGACCCTGACAAAATGGGGAGATGAGATCAGCACCCACTGCTGCTGGGGATCTCAGATCCTCTGCTGCTGTGGGGAGTGGGAGCTCCAGAGGCCCCTGCCCATGGGGGCTGAGCTGCTCCAGGGTCTCCTCCCCTCCCGTGGCAGCTGGGCATGCAGAGGGTTGCCTGCTGTCAGCTATGGGAGGATCCCCTGCTGCCCACCATGGCTGTACAGTTACAGAAGTTCCCCCATAAGTTATACTCCCTGGAGCTAAGCAGCTTCAAGGTTTCCTCACCTGCTCAGGGGCTGAGAGCTGCAGTCCTAGGAAAAGCGACGAGGAGGTCACTGGTACATTCTCCTGCACATCCACCAACGTAATATATGCCATCATGTGCCAACAATGCCCCACTGCTATTAACATCGGCCAAACAGGACAGTCCCTACGTAAAAGAATCAATGGACACAAATCTGATATTAGGAATGGCAACGTACAAAAACCTGTAGGGGAACACTTCAATCTTCCTGGACACACAATTGCAGATCTAAAAGTAGCCATCCTGCAGCAAAAAAACTTCAGGACCAGACTTCAAAGAGAAACTGCTGAGCTACAGTTCATCTTTAAGTTTGACACAATCAACTCTGGATTAAACAAAGACTGTGAATGGCTTGCTAACTACAAAAGCAGCTTCTGTTCTCTTGGAATTCACACCTCCAGATCAGCTGCTAGAAGTGGGCCTCATCCTCCTTGATTGGATCCACCTGGTCATCTCCAGCCTGATCCTGGCCTGCATATTTATTCCTGCCTCTGGAAATTTCCACTACATGCATCTGACGAAGTGGGTCTTTGCCCACGAAAGCTTATGCTCCTACACTTCAGTTAGTCTATAAGGTGCCACAGGACTCCTCGTCGCTTTTGCAGATTCAGACTAACACGGCTACCCCTCTGATACTTGAGTCCTAGGAAAGAATATGTCACAGAGGTCAATGGAAGTAATGGATTCTGTAACTTCCATAACATTGACATAATCATAATAATAATCATTACTTCTAATACAACTCCAACCATGTGGAAACTCTGGGTTAACAGTTTAACTATTTAGGGACACATAATAGTGAAAAGCAAACAGTCATATAGCCTTTGTAAGAATTCCTGCCTTGGCTTCCCTATCACTCTGGAGGTAGTCTGGGTTTTTGGCACAGGAGTCTTCTCTACAGCACATGGCTTCTCTTTGAAATCATGGAGTCTCTTTCCTTCCTTTAGGTCCGCTAGTTTTTGTCTTCCTTGGTCCCTTAATTAAACGGGACCCTCCCTCCTCCATCCCAGCTAAATCTTTTACTTTCTCCTGTCCTAAGCTTTGTCTTCTTTATTCTGAATTAATCACATTAGATTGTCTCACCCCGACCACCAGCTTCCTTTGTTCTATGTGTCTCCAAACCCCAACTTCTGCAGAAAATTTGGTGCAAATTGACTTCTTCCTACTTTCTGCTCTGTCTGGACCAGATCTGTTAATTGCTTAATAGCCCTTAATGGCTGACTGTCTTATTCGAAGAAAAACTTGCAGACTCCATTTCCTCCTTTTCTCCGCCCCTTGGAGAAAGCTATGTCATATTTTATTTTACATTATATGTTTGAAGAAAAACTTGCAGACTCCATTTCCTCCTTTTCTCCGCTCCTTGGAGAAAGCTATGTCATATTTTTTAACATTATATGAAAATATCAGAATGTGAAAAATCTTGTTGTTTAGAAGCACAGGAAAGGGTGTCTGGAATGGACAAGTGAAATTAAATGGGAATTTTTGTAATATTTTTATTAAGACTATGTGTGCCTCGGTTTCCCTATATGTTGTTTTGCTACCATGTGGGGGAAAGAAGATTAACTCTGCTTTCACAACAGACCAAAAATATAGGGGTGTAAGTGTTACCAACCTGTCTGAGCAGACTGAATAAGGCATTAAACGGACTAGCCCATGCAGCTAGCACTCAATAAGCCAGAGAGAGAATCGTTTCCCCACCTCTCAGCACTTATGAATTCAGTCTCTGCCTGGAGAGCAAAGGACTAGGAGGTGACCAAGAAGGAATAATAATTGATTTCTGAAAGAGGTTGGCTGCTCTCCATAGAAAGTAACTGAAGAGCCAGAGAGAGAGAGAGAGAGAGAGAGAGAGAGAGAACACAAAATGAAATCCACTACAAGTTGGCTTGTGAATTGCTCTGCCTTGACCAGAATTGACTATCCTTTAATATTTATCTCTTTATGCTAACATAATGACTTCCAGTGCTTTGTTCCAGTTGACTAATAAGTCTTACTCTATTTGAAAAATTGCTTGGGTGTCCCTACAAATACTGAAGTGCATTGGTAGAGCCTTGCATCTTCAGATATCCACTTTATATCTGTGGCTATCTGCATTCACAGATGTGGATGCAGATATCTGTGGCTCATTTTAGGAGATACAAATGCGGATACAAATTTTGGATGTAGAATCATGTAAGTTTGCAGCTATCTGCGTTGTATATGTGGATGTGGATATTCACGGATCATTTTTTCAGATGCGGATATCAATTTCATATTCACGTAGGGCTCTATTTGTTAGTTCCTGAATAGTGTAAAATACTCTACCAGGAGTCTCTTTTTCAGCAGTTCTCAGACTGTGGATTGGGACCCCAAAATCTGTCGCATCTAGGGATTTGAAAGTGTAGCCATGTAAATGGTTAACCAATGAGCCTAGGCTCCTGGACGGGAAACCAGCTTAAAAGCTGGCTCCTGGTGTGAACCAGCTCCCAGGAAGATGCCTGATACAGAGTCAGCAGCACTGGGTGGTAGGTGGGGAGCTGGTATGCCGAGGGACAAAGGCAGCAGCGGGAGGGGGGTGGGCCGGGGCAGGTGGAGGGATGAGAGCTGGTATGGGAAGCTAGCTCCCTGCACTCACTGACTCCCAGAGAGCCGCCTGCTGCCTATGCTGCTGCCTCTGATACAGAGGCAGCAATGTGGGGCAGCAGACAGGAATTGGTATGCAGAGGGAGCCAGCTTAAAAGATGGAGTCACTTCTCATTCCATCTGAAGATGGCTGTTCGTTCCAGGTTACTGTTTCTATGTAATGTGTCCTGCCCAAGAGACAACCCAGCTGGGAAGACAGTAGTGGCCTTCCCTATGTGCTTCCGACCTGAGCCCAGCTGCCAGGGACAGGAGCTGAATATCCAGGGGGTGGGAGGGCTCAGCAGAAGAACGACAGAGCCCATCCCCTCCGTATCCCAGCAGACCAGGTAGGAATTTGGGCTGTTTAATCCTGCATTCCTCCTTACACAACATTTACTGTGTGGCAGCTCCTGGAGCCAGTGGGCTGCAAAATGCAGTGCAGATAGAGATTCAGTAAACAGTTGGGAGCTGCAGGGAAGGATTGCTGAGTGTAAGGGAGGTGTACCTAGGGAGGCATGACCCAAGTTGCTTGGGGGAGGCCAATCTTTAAATTGTGGCCTCTGCCCGCCCGGCTGTCAGCATGTAGTAGCTGTATCTGCCACTCTCTGAAGCATCTGGTTGTAGTCACAGTCATACAGGGAATTGGACTAGATCCGTGGTGTCCAGCATGCTAGCCATTAGCCACATGTGGCAATTTGGCTGGTTGAGCATGGATAGTTCACTATATTAGTAGCCATCACTGCTTCAGAACTGGTTGGACACCACGGGACTCAAACTTTGTGATACCACAACCCCCCTCTAAGTTGCTCACAACCCCCCAGTAAGTTGCTCGTGACCTCTCCCCCTCCTCCCCCCCGGAGGGTCGGGACCCACAGTTTGAGAAACGTGGCTATAAGTCAATTGTTGTATTATCTATCAGCTTGAAGGGAGATCGGAAACAACATATTCTGAAGAAATACCACACTGACAATGAATACTCAATAGCTAAGTTGTATTCTGTATGATCAGATCTAGGCTTCAAGAAAGGTGCAAGACGTCCACAATATTAGTTAGGCACTAAAAGTTCTACTTTCAATTAAAATAGTATTGATAATATATTAACATTTAACTTGCGGTCTTAGATGGGAAGCAATAGACTTTTTTGTTAACATGAGGACAAAATGAAACATAAGACCAGAAATTAGAGCCTGATGCACTGAAAATAAGAATAAAAATAACTCAGCCATGATTTTTTAGTCCCAGCAGAATGCACAGAAATGTCTTTAAAGAACCACAACAGTGCCTACATTTCAATTCATTTGAGAGAATGGGCCTATACTCTGAAAACAGAAACAAGAATACTTTCTTGTCAAGCAATTACGTTTTAAGTGGCCAGAATTGTTTTCTGCCAGTTAGGTAAGAATATAAAAATACCTTTAGAATACTCTAAAAACATTCTAATAAATTATAGTATATATTGTTCACCGACTTTTTCTGTCAATTTTTTGGTTTATATAACAATAAAGGGGCGGAAGATGTGTGATAGATAAATCATTACTTGCCAAGGTCTATGCTTTGCGCTGTGCTGAATGCTGTCTGAGAACTTAGCAAATATAATAATAATAATAATGTTTGAGTATTTTAATTAGATGTTGTAGCATATGTTAAATGCTTTCTGATTTTTTCAAGCCTTAATGAGAACACTGGACCAAAGCTCATTTTATTGCCTAGTAATTTTGTGGTACACGTAAAACTATGAGAAATTTAGAAAAGCAACTCAAATCAAAATGGACTTATGTTTACATTAAAATTAATTTGCTTGGGTACACACACTTACAGTAGGTATGTGTGGATTTATTGTACTTCTACTGTGAAACAAAGTACATTCAATCATTTTCCTAACTTACATCAGTGTTGAAAGTTTAGTATTTCCAATGTTTACATTCATTTTCTTCAAATCTTGATTCTATAGCTGTTAGTTTTACTTAATAGGAAAATCAATTAAAAAAAAAGATATTTTCACATTATTTTAATTGAGGCTCTTACAGAAGTGAAGAACCAGCAGTGCCAGGGAGAGCTATTTTAGTTACCTAACGGTTTGATTATGCTTTTCTTGTTCAAGCATTTCTCCTGCTGATAATGGTATTTTTACCTGAAGAAAGGGCACAGTATAAAGCATAAAAATCTATTCTAGTTAATATAAATTAATTTAAAACATTTTCAAGTTATTTTATTGATATTGTGAAGCCACTACTGCTTGTTGCCTTCATTAGAGGGGGTCTGATTTTGAAGAGCATAATTGTTAACTACGCCATTCAAAAATCTTCTGCCTGTTGTGGTAATATGTGTATTTCTCAACATTTAGCTCTGTCATTGTTACAAATGACTGAAATGTGGAATGCAGTGTAGCCATGTTGGTCCCAGGATGCTAGACAAGGTGGGTGAAGTAATTCATTTTACTGGATCATTTATGGAAGACCAGTATTTTGTTTCATGTCATATCATACTTGAGAGTTTTTTTAAATTAAAATTAGAGATTTTTAAAAAATATTAAGCTAGTTTAAAAGGATATTTCATCTCTATGTATTAAAAATAAACATTTTTTCTAAATAATCCCCGCAAGAGAACAAATTATCCCTTTAAGCATGAAATTTAATTATTATAATCTTAGCTCTGCTCCAACCCTCTCTTAAAGTTAGGCACAATATTTGGTCAGTGACCTGTTTTGGGACCGGCTCTCTTCAATATCTTCATCAACGATTTAGATATTGGCATAGAAAGTACACTTATTAAGTTTGCAGATGATACCAAGATGGGAGGGGTTGTGACTGCTCTGGAGGATAAGGTCATAATTCAAAATGATCTGGATAAATTGGAGAAATGGTCTGAGATAAACAGGATGAAGTTTAATAAAGACAAATGTAAAGTGCTCCACTTAGGAAGGAACAAACAGTTTCACACATACAGAATGGGAAGCGTCTGTCTAGGAAGGAGAACGGCAGAAAGGGATCTAGGGGTTATAGTGGACCACAAGTTGAATATGAGTCAACAGAGTGATGCTGTTGCAAAAAAAGCAAACGTGATTCTGGGATGCATTAACAGGTGTGTTGTGAGCAAGACACGAGAAGTCATTCTTCTGCTCTACTCTGGGCTGGTTAGGCCTCAGTTGGAGTATTGTGTCCAGTTCTGGGCACTGCATTTCAAAAAAGATGTGGAGAAATTGGAGAGGGTCCAGAGAAAAGCAAGAATGATTAAAGGTCTAGAGAACATGACCTATGAAGGAAGGCTGAAAGAATTGGGTTTGTTTAGTTTAGAAAAGAGAAGACTAAGGGGGGACATGATAGCTGTTTTCAGGTATCTAAAAGGGTATCATAAAGAGGAGGGAGAAAACTTGTTCATCTTGGCCTCTGAGGATAGAACAAGAAGCAATGGGCTTAAACTGCAGCAAGGGAGGTTTAGGTTGGACATTAGGAAATAGTTCCTATCAGGGTTGTCAAACACTGGAATAAATTGCCCAGGGAGGTTATGGAATCCCCATCTCTAGAGATATTTAAGAGTAGGTTAGATAAATCAGGGATGGTCTAGACAGTATTCGGTCCTGCCATGGGGACCTCTCGAGGTCCCTTCCAGTCCTAGTATTCTATGATTCTATGA